ACCATGTTGTAGTTCGTGGTGTCATTGTAGAACCCCCACTGCTTCTTCTCGTCATTTACAATGCGGAAGAGAAGCCCGTTTCCATTGTCCTTGAAGCACTTCACAACGGTGTTGCCCTCAAAGGTGGGCTGACCATTCTCATACTTGATATCAGACATGTCTGTGTTACGGCGGTTTGTGTTTTAAATAGCTTGATAATGTCGGAAAGAGATTCTGCAGGAAAAAGAAGCCACAATTATGTACAGACGATCTGGGAGAAATGACTCTTAGAAGCCTTTGTTTGGCTTATGGTTCCTCAAAAAGAAGGGTGTATTATAGACTCTCCTCAAAAGTCTGTCTGCTCGACGTCAGTGAGGCGCATAGTCTGTTGAATGTCTCGTGGGAGTGTCTGCATCGCTGCCCTGTCCTCGTCGTCCAGTTTTCTTTGCTCATCAGGCTTGAGGGGATCAAGGGAACCGTACTCTTCTTCGCTCAGCTCCACACCCGGCGGCATTTGGAGGAGGGTTACCAACGCAGAGCGGGTATCTACGCGCAACGCATCCTTGAACACCACCGTGAAGTACTGTGGGTACGGCTGCAGAAGCTCCAGCAGGCCCTTGAACTGAAGACGGACCACCTCCTTCGCGCCGTATGGAAGGCGGCCGTAAAGGTCAACGGAGGTACGTGGCTGCTGCTGCAGCTCGGCTGCGCAGAGAAAGAGCAGCTCCTGCTCCGTGTAGTGCTGCCGAAGGACGCCGGGAGGTAGGGGGACGCCGGGACGAATAAGGTGCAGGCGGTGGCGGTATCGGTATTCAAAGAGGCGCACTTTCTCAGGCGCCTGCTGAAACATTGTGACGGGCCTGCTGGGGAGGAAATCCGACAAGGACGGTGGCAGCGATTTCAGCAGAAAGTTGAGAGAGATGGAGCGCTTTTGCGGTACGTAGCGCAGAATAGCGTCCAGCAGGACCTCTCGATCCGCGTAGGGATTGTCTGGATCTTTCTCCAGTGCGATGCGGCGTCGCAGCTTCTGGGCAGTGCGGCGGTCCCGTTTCACGAGCGCCTCCTCCAGCTTATCCTCGAGTGTTCTCGTGGGCTTGTCTGTCGTGCTCCTGTGCGAGACAAGCCCTACAATCATACCGTCCTCAAGACGGAACACATCACCGTGTGCCCGGAAGAAATCGACAAGTGTGCCGTAGTACATGATGATCTGCGTCTTGGCGAAGTCGGAGATGCGACCGGCGGCAACGGCGCCTAGCAGGTCTGTGATGCACACCCGCTGCCCGCTGAGCACACTCACCAGCTCCGACACGACCGCCGGCGTGGGGCTGTCGTGGTACGAAAGACACGTCACTGGGCCGAGCCAGCACACCTCACCCTCCCCTTCCGGCGTGAAGCTGAAGACGTGCTGCATCTGCGCAAAAAACAAGAGTGTCTTGTAGTTCCTCCACGGCAGCAGCGCATGGAGGAGGCTGGCAGGCGTGCTGGTGATGAGTGTGCGGAGCGAGGTCCACCGTGGCGACGGTGACAGCAACCGACGGAAGGGCTCACAGAGAAACGGGTCCGGCTGATACTCCCGCCAGCGCTGGTGCGCCGCCTCGCCCGCGCCATCACATGTGAAGTCGACCAGCCGCTTTCCACCGTGCAGCCGCACGAACTGCTCGCCCTCCAGCTGCACAATTTCCAGCGCCCCGGTGGCGGCAAAGATACGCTCAATGTGATCTGTAGTGTAGCCATCCGGCAGCAACTCGAGAAGTTCCTTCATGGGAATGAAAAAAGTCGGCACGTACGGCACGAGCATTTGCGGCGAGAACATGCCGTCAGGAACGCGACCCTTTTTTTTGCTCCTTGTGGCACGCTGCTGCAATGGTGGTGGTGGCGGCGGCGTGAAGCGTGGGAAAACCGGCTGAAACACATCAAGCAGACTCTCCGTCTCAGACTGAGGGAAGCACTGCTGCGACGTGCAGGCTGTGAAGAAGGCTGCCTCCGCTTCTTCCTTGCTATGCGCCTTCACAGTGTAAACCTTGTCGTCCGAGACGTAGATGCCCCAGTGACTCGTCGCGTTTGTGGCCTGCAACTGCTGCAGTGCGTAGGAGAGCGTACCAAAGTGGCGACGAAGCCAACGATGTGTGCTGCAGAAACCTTCCTTGGGGGGCAGTTTGCCGGGACCCAGGGCCTCTTCGAGCGTGGGTGGCAGGTTGCCGTACACTGTAGCGATCCTCGACACACATGGCGCCGAGGCGACATGTGGACTCACTATTTCAAACAGTAGCTCCGTCGGTGAGAGGGATGAACGTTCCGTAGCTGCTGATGTTGCTGACCTTGCGGATGATGATGATGATGATGCTTCCAATGTATGTGGAGAATGGGCGGGATCATTGCAGACGCCACTGCTACCTGCTGCCCGCGCTGCGGTGAATAGGGTAACGCGATGCGCAGGCACAGGACGATCGGCACGGCCTGCCGCTGCGCGCCTCAACGAGGAACAGCACGGAGACGGCTTCCCTCGTACCAGCACCGCCACTCGTGGGTGCAAAAAAAACATAAGACATGCACAGATGAATGGGATTTTGTCTTGTGTCCTCGGTGCACTACAGCCTTGTCGTCAGGCGGTTCCCATATATAAATGCCTAAAACCTAATCCGTGTGCGTTTTTAAACAACCGAGTGCGGAAAGAGGAACCACATATTTAAGTGGAGAGACACCTGCCTTCCAATCAAGCGGGATCAGTTTCTCATATGGGACGCGGCGCCTTACTCGATGTGGGGAGACAAGTACACGTGTGTGTGGACGACCACGTTGTTGGTGCGCGGGCAGTGATGTGAAGGAAGTTAAATTGTTCACACCTCCATCGCAGCGGCATCACTCGCCAGTTTCTTCAGCGCCCCTTCCAACGCCCCACACCTCCCTGCAAAGCGACGCAGAATGACATTTTGTGTGTACAGCGCACGCGCCTCGCCGAGAAGCTGCTGCACCTCCGCACTGTCATCACACAGGGCCCGATGATCCTCCCACAGGTGCTTTTCCAGCTCGTGCTCAACCCCGAGGTGAAGTCGCGGTACAGAGGAGGGCAACGTCAGAAGAAGGGCCTCCGCCGTGTTACCCAAGGCACGATTTGCAAACGTACCATTACCATTGGGTTTACTGTTAACCCCGGCGACAGGGGGTGGCAGAAACAAACCTGCCTGCACACACAACTTGAGCCTTTCACATTGCAGAGGGATGTACGCGACTTCCTCCTGCACGGCCTGATAACTATCTTCTCCTGTGGGGTCTGCTGACTGTTGTTGTTGTTGCTGCTGCTTGCGTTTCCTGCCCCCCGTTGCTTTCCTGGCGATTGCATCATTCGTGCTCCCCGCTGCTGCTTCCACCGTTGTTCCTTCTCTTACCTTTCCATTTCCCACACCAACGTCCTCTTCGTTGTGCTGCCCAGATGCCATGGGGCCGTGTGTCAATGCCCTTAACTTGCTAAACAACACTGTTGCTTGGCTGTCAACACGCTGAAGGGCCATGAGGGCCTTAAAATATGGAACATTCACCTTCGACTCGTGCGCGAGCCCCTCATGCAGCTGCTTTCGCCGCGCTTGTTCGAGCAGCCCGTCATACCAGAAAGGGGACGCCGCGGGCGGTGGGGAACACGATGCTAGCGACGCGAAATCTTTCGCACCTACTTTTCGCTCCACCAGGTTGCCGTGCGGGCCTGACAAAGGCACTCCCGTCTCCACACAACGCTGCAGGACATCTGCGCGATATCGGGCCAGCATGTCTGCTTCGCGTGCCTCTTCTTCCTCCCCCCCTTCGACAGGCTCTGCTGCGTTGTCTTCACCATGCTGTTGTTGCTGGTTCTGTTTTAACCACTGCGTTAGCCACTCCCTCCGCTGTCGCTGCGCCTCCAGAATGGGATGCTTCTCCAGTAGTGAGGTCAGTGGGTGTGCCGATGCAATAACACGCTCGTCTGCTAGCCTCGTCTTTACGGCGCCCGCGTCGCCTGTCACCTTGGGTTTCGCATTAGTTGTTGGTGCAGGTGCCTCCACACACCCCGTCGCACCTTCGTCCTTCAGCACCTCCTGCAGGAGGCGGTGACGGTGGCGGAGAACGACCTCCGAGACAATTCTGTACCGCTCCATCAACACTTCTACAGGCGGCGTGACGCAATCGTCACTGCTGTTGTTGTTGTCAGTAGCCTTCCTGCCACTCACGCCATAAGCGTCGGCGTACCGCCAACGATCAGCGACCACCACAAAATTACCGAAACGCTCATACAGCATCAAGAGCTTGCAGGTGGAGGTATAATCAAAACGCCACCGCACGGTGCCTGAATCATTGCTCGAGCGTGACAAAACAGCGGGCTGATATAAGTCATTGTCTAAGTCCAACATCGCGTACTCGTCGGCGGACACCGTGAGGAATGCGATGGGAGAGTCGGCAAGGGGTGCGTGCAACACAGACAGTTCCGCATCTGGTGGCACCGACAGGAGTTGCGCCCACCACACAGGAGGAGGATTGCCTACCCCAGTGACCTCGCCATTCTGCTCGCCCTCACTGACCCCTCCCTCTCCTGCTGCTGCTGCTGCTGATAGCGAGGAGGCGAGGACATCCTCCACAAGTACTGCATCGGCGCGCACCCAACGATAACCTGCCAGAGTGATACGCAACTGTCTCGACAGCGCGTTGGCACCACTACCAGCATTGACGTCCGCAGGTGCCGACCTCACTGTGATGTGACGCCGCTGCACATGCGACCAGCGATGTAGCGGAGGCACAGCTCTCCTGTTGTTCTGGCTCTCACCCGCTGCTGTCTCAACCGCACCTCCACCTGTCGTGATGGGCGCCACGACACCAAACATGTCCGGCAGCGCAGGCATTTTGTACGCATCACCACTGCGACCGCCATCCGTCACCACCGGTGCTGCACCCCGCTGCCCCGCCGCCAATGTCTGCTCAAGGCGGTGGAGTTCCTCCTCGCTGCTGAAAAAGCGGTGATTGAGCATGAGCTTCGCCGCCTCACCCTTCAGGCCCTTCAACCGCCTCCCATCGCGGTCGTACAGGCACGCCGCCCGCTGCCGCTTCTGGCAGCCTGCCACTGTGGCACCGCCGCTGCTGCTGCTGCCAGAAGCGGCAGCGATAGGCGGGGCCGCGGGTTGCAGAATAGAGGACGCCACAAACCTGTCAGCCATGACACTTCCTGTTCCTTTGTAGATTAATATATATATATATATATATTGCTGCTGCAGCTGCCGGCTCCCACCGCTCACGTCGCAGAGGGGACTACGAAGAAGGCCCATGTGATAGCAAGTGGCCAGGCGAATAACATACATACACGCACACAGACAGATGCTCTCCAGCACAATCAAGCTGAGGGAGCCCACATTCCCCATTTTTTTTTTGGTTTAAGATGAAATCAACGACGAGGGAAATAAGGCAAAGAACAGACGAGCGAGACGTTGGCGCCAGCAGTGTGGAGAGTTGTCGCCTTTGCTTCCATCTCACACCTCGCTCCTTTTCCTCCTCACTCTCGTTCTCGGACTCGTTTCCCTTCACTTTCCCCTCTCTCTCTCGTTCCCTCATTTCGCACCCACGCCGGTTTGCCAGCTTCACATCAGCCAAATGAGACAAAAAATCAGCAAATGGAAGAACACACAAACTCTCACACCGTAGAAAGAAAAAAGCACAACTTCGGGCTCTTTTACTTCTGCCTATACGCGTGACGTACCATCTTCCGCGGCGGCTCGTCGCCCGTAGGAATCACATCGCCCTGCGAGTGCCCGAGCACGTCGAGTGAGGCGCACGACGATGACAAGGAACGCTTCGCCGTGCTGCTGGCGGCGTGATGCAGCAGCTGCGAGGCGACGATGCGGGGTCTAGAGCAAAGCAGCAGTAACTCCGGAGACCGCGCCGTCGACCGCAAGCGCGGTGTCTCATCACCGCCATCCTGCGCGCCCATCACCGCCACATCATCGTCAATCGACATGAATTCCTCCGGCACCGACGCAAATGAGAGCTCCTGCGACTTACGCTGGGCCATGAAGCGCTGCAGCATCGCCTCCTCCTCAGACACAGGCGCGGAAGCCGTGTCACGTGCTGTCGCATCTTCTCCCGGCGTCTCTCCCCCGCCCTTCTTCGCATCTCCAGAAGCAGCAGTTGTTGCGGTGACTTCACCATCCTGCTCCATTTGATACTTACGCGCCAGCTGGGCGCGCAGCTGGTCGTCGACAATCCAAAGCCCTCCCGACTCGAGCAGATTCCCCTTGCGGTCTAGCCGCTTTTCGTTGGCGATGCCGCGCAGCCGGTCGCGCTTATTCTCCTCGAAGTTTTTCAGTGTAATTCGGGCGACCTTCGTCATGTACGCACTGCGGTGTTCATTGCTCACGTAGGCGTAGAAGCTTTCTGCATCACGCTTGCTCTCTTCCCAGCGCTGCTGCAACTCCTGCGAGAGCAGCGGCGACGGCGCAGCAGTAAGGTCGGCGAGCGACGCGCCGCCGCTGCCCCACCCGCCCTGCGACGACGTCTGCGACGGCCACATTGAACCGTCACGCTCGCTCGGGCGTGGCGTGGCGAGC